ATCTTCTCAGGTCCCTTCTGACCCTAGAAACTATGAAACCACCATTAAAGAATGCTAAACACTGAACAAGAATATATTCATTATCTACCATGTCATGATGATTTGGTATATAATCTTTCAGTGCAAAACAAAAGTGTGTGGCTCCCTCTTGTGGAAATTATACATAAATAGATATGTTCTAATTCAGGTATCTAAGTTGCTTTCAGTTACTGTACTGTTTAATTTAGTTATCTTTATTTTAAAGGCATTCATTTAGCATACATGTATCTAATGTGCCAATAAGCAAGCCAGTTAAATGTGAATTTGAATAGTTCAGAATTTCTAATAGTTAAATAATTGGTTATGCTGATGGCCAGGCTAGAACAGTAAACAAGATGATGCTATTTATTAGGGCTATGCGAAGCTTCGGTCTCTGATTCAATTTGGTGGAGATTTGACTCGATTCGGTGGCTGAATCTCCAAATCTATATTGAATCAGAGGACCCTTTAATTTCTCTGAATTGATTTGGAACCCTCCGAATTGATTTGTAGCGATTCAGAAAGATTTGGCGATTTGGACATAAACACAGCTTTAAATATCTTTTCTGCATACCTCTAGGTAGCAGGTGGCTCATGAACACTGCAATGCTGGGGTGCATGGAGTGTCCCACAGAAGCATGGGGGTGTTCCCCAGCGCGCTTGGCAGCAGACCTAGAAGTGGACCACTTCTGGTGTCCACTTCCAGGTCTGCCTGGAAGCACACTGGGGGCCCCCTACTCCCTAGCTTGGTGACTGGTGCTTCCTGGGTCTGGGGGGGCACCTGGGGTCCCCCTGCGGCCGATCGCCAAGCTGGGAAGGTGCGGGGTGGGGGTGGGGGGGTCTCCTAGCACTCTGTCCAGCAGACCCAGAAGTGAACCAGAGGTACTTCTAGTCCACTTCCCGGTTTGCTGCTGAGCACGTGGAGGGCCCCCCACACTCCTGTGGGACACTTCATACATCCTAGCATTGCAGCAATAAGAAGCTAAACCTGCTACCTCAAGCTACGTAGAAAAGACTTTTAAAGTTGTGTCTGTGTCTGAATTGCTGATTCTCCGAATCAGCATTGAATCTGCACATTTGGCTGAATCAAATCAGGGACAGTGATCCGAATCAATGAATTGAATCACTGTCCCTGATTTGGGTCAAATCTGAATCAAATAGGGCCCACTTTGCACACCCGTACTATTCATGCATCTGCGTTAAGGAGTTGTTCTGTTAGGTCAGCCATAGCAGGGTGTGAAGCAGTAATAGTGTGATCATACCATACGGTGAAAAAATTGTTAAAAATAGAGTTGTAATCTCTTTAAACAAACAGTCTGAGTGGTCTACAGCAGCCTTCACCAGGTCCTGTGTTTGAGGAGTCACCAGACACCATTTAAAGCAACAGTGCTTATATAGCTCATTGTAAGCAGTTAGTACGTATGGCTGTTTGGAACCTGGCATTGTTTCTTCATAACGTAACTCAGTGGGCATGTCTACGCATGCAATTAATGTGATGCAATAAACTCTGGTGCTTATCATGCCAGAGTATATTGCTTCCAGATGCCATGTTTACACATGCACTTGGGACTGCTACACATGGAACTGGGTGGGAGCAACCCTGGCTGGCAAGAAGCCAGGGAGGGTCAGTCTGCCAGCCCGGGGCTGCTCTGACCTAGCTCAATGTGCTCCAAAGGCTGGGGCACAAGTGTGCTCCAGTGTGTGGCTAACTGGCAGGCAGCCCCTCACTGAAGCACCCTCATGACCCAGCCAGCTCCGCTAGTGTCTACATGTGTGTTGCTGTACACTAAAGAATGTTGCTGCAGGTTAGTACTTGTATTTACAAATACTAATGCATGGCAGAGTTAATTAGTTTCTTGAGACCTAATAGGGATGCACATGTAGATGCAGAGACTATACAGCAGAGCTAATTAGGTAGCTCCACAGTAAAGGTCTCATATAGATGCACCCAGAGTGTGAGGAACTCAAAGCCCCACAGTTCATAAGTAACTGATTCTCCAACAAATGTAGTACTGATGGGTGTTACAGGACACATCTACATGTTCATGTGTGCGCCTTAGATACTGTGCATTTAGTTCATGAATGTATTAATGAAGTATTAATTGAGGGCTTGCTTACATGTGTGAGTGCTGCAACACCAGGTGCCTACAGTTGTATAGGTGGTGAAATGTGCACCAGCATAAAGCAGATGGCAGCAGTGCACTTTTGAACTAAAACACCTTGGAGGTGCTTTAGTTCAAAAGTGCACCACTGCTATTTTCTGCACATTTTGCCACTTATACAACTGCATGTTGTGCACCACAGTGCATGTCAGCTCGTGTGTAGATTAATCGAGTCTGCTACGAAGCGGCAGATCTCCAGTGCATCACAGAACAATGAGGTACATGAATAAATGCCCTGACTGTGCAGTAACTAGAGTTACTGTGCAGTAGCACTGGTGCACAGTTTTTTAGTGATGCTTACTGTGCATTAGCCTAATGACCAGGAATCCTGTTTTTACGATTAAAAAAAAAAAATCCCGTATTTTCTGATTTTAACAAAGTAAACCAAAATCCACATTTTTCCATGACTAAAATGAAGTGTCACATACATACACACACACATATATAAAATATGTTTATATATTTCATATGTAAAGAAATATTTTATATAAAATGTATAAAATAAGAAAACCAGGATCCCAGCTAATAACATTGCATGGTAGTGTGTCATGGCAAAAACCATGCTAATAGCTTACTGCAGTATTATTAGGCTAGTGCCCAGTAAGCATCTCATGTAGACGCACCCACAGAGAGATATATTTAGTCCATCTTAGATAAAGGAGGCAAATAACAAAGTGGGGGTTGGATTGAGTAGAAAGAAAAAAGGATGATCACCTCTTTAAAAAAAATTCTCAGTCAGTCCACGTCTTTGGATTGTGAGGTTTTTTCAGAAAACATTAGAATTCACTACCAGTGGTGAGTCATAACAACCCGTGGTACAATTAAGGTCTGAGTGATATAGGGAGTCACAGACTGATGATATGAGAATCTTGGCGTTAAAAGTTCTCCCACTCTTTCAAAAAGCATATGCCTTATGCAAGTGTAATGCATATGCCCAGTAGTCCCAAGAGTAGGGCATGGTAACCATAAATCACCCATCACCTGGCGTGTCCTCATCATGTAGAGTCACAGTCCCTCTTACATTATTTCTCTCTGGCCTCTTCAACTTTATATTCTTTTCTAAAAAATGATTCACCTTTGATAACAAGGAAGAAGAATGACTCTTTGCCAGCCTGAGTCACAGCTGGAACGTTAGGATACTCACCAGGGAGATGGGAAATCTGGCAGGGGTGGTCTCCCTCAGTCCTAGCTAGTACATGAATTACTGGCAGGCTTCTCTCAGAGGGAGAGGTAAAAGAGCACATCACTGTCTCTGAATAAAGTACCATGCAAGTTTATTCTACTCAGAGAAACAGGGAAAAAATGAGACATGTTAAAAATATATATTTGTCTTTCGGTAAAATAGACCGAACATTTTCATATGAGAAAATTTTATTTATATAATAAAATGCTTAGAATCCCTCATAAGCACTCACCATTTATCAGCTGTGCATCAGATGCGAGTCACAGTGAAATGTTATCCTCCTACACAGGGATGAATTAGTGTATATCAAGATATTAATTACTAAAGTCTCTAGTATGTGTTGGTATTTGTCCTTTTTTTAACCTGATCAGAGTTCTTTTGAAAGCCTTCCTATTGATGTTAATAGGCACTGAGTTGAGTCCTCTGTCAATAAACAGATTTACAAGCAACTGAATAAGCAATGATGATAACTGATATTAAAATTATTTTAAGCTGGCTCCATTCTGCCATGTCTCCCCTCCGTCTCTTCTCCCTGCTTCCCAACTCTTGTTAGCTACTTTTACTGTCATTGTTGGATGGTAACTGTTCAAAAGGACTCACTGCTGGATACTGATTGAAAAGAGTGGGCTGTGTCCTTGTTCTGCCTTCTTTCAGGAGTAGAGAGTAATCCAACACCATTTTTTTTTTATCCAGGTGAGGTCAGTTGCTTGGAGGGGTCTCA